CAAACTTGAAGACCTTCTTCAGGTCCACAGGGATTTAGATCTGGGAAAAACTGTTTGTCTTATGTGTGTAACTGCAGTAAGGAAATGCTCCAAAGAAAAGCTTCCTGCTGGGATTGTCCAGTGGGAAAACAAAACAATCCTTTCAGGCTTACTTTAAAACCAGCACCATATAGAAACATGTATTTTTTTTTTCCATCGTGCTGCTTTGTGTAGAGGACACAAGCAACAGAACACGCACGGAAAAGATGCACAGGCATAACTAAACCAGAAGAATTGGACAGAAAATAACCCAATGTGCTCTTAAGTTGGTTTTGAAGCCCGAGCTCAGTAATTGTTTGTGAAAGCAGAAAGCCCTCAACACCAAGTCATGGCCCTCTGTGGTGTGGGATGCTGGAGCCGCGTGGGAAAGGCGGCATTTAGTGGGAAAGGAGGCATTTAAGCAGCTGTTGAAATGAGGAGGTTATTTTTCATTCCTCGGCTAAGAAGTTAACCCGTCCGTGCCTGCAAGACGAACTGTGGCTGTTTCTGTTCACGTCCAGGCTATTTTGCTTCCTGCAAAGGCAAAACTTCTGCTTTTCATCAAACTTAATCTGTAAAAGTTTCATTTCGTAGTTGCAGGAGCGCGGTGATCCGGTGGGAGCGCCGGCAGCTCCGTCCTGCAGACGGAGGGTAATGAATTGCAGGACAGGGGGCAACGAAATGTGCTTTTTCCTGCTAACGTGTTTGGGTTGTGCTACACGTTAAGGGATGGGAAAGGTGCTGGTGCTGCTCCGTGATGCAAGTCCTAGGTAAAAGCCCCCACGGAGCCCCCGGGTCCCAGGGGGATGCCTCTACTTCTCAGGATTTTCCCAGCCCTGGAAGAGGTTTGCTGCAGGGAGCTGAACAGTGAACCTCTCTGCCTTTGCAAGCACAAAGTTAATACAAGTTCGGTGCAGAGACTGAGGGATTTTTTCCTGGGGCAGCAAACTGGACTGTGGGACAGAAAGGCCCAGCTCAGAGGCTTGGGAGGGGCGCTCTGCCCATCACTGAGCCACGTGCCACAAACCCCCTGCCCAAAAATGGCACCGTGCCCGCTCTGAGTGGTCTTCAGCCTGCAGCTTGAAGTTTGCATTCATAACCCTGCTGCAAAGGGCTGGAACACTTTATTGGGAGAGTCCCACCAGCACCCACCAGAGCCTTTCCCTCCCCGCAGCAAGGCAGGGCGGGTCAGGGTTCCCCGCCCGTGCTGCGGTCACGCACGGCCGCGTTTCCACTGTCCCCCCGTGTCCTGCTCAGCATCTCCCGGGGGCGACAGCTGGATGGACGCCACGAGAGAGGCCGGCGCGGTGGGAAGGGTGAACAGCTGAGGGGCTGCTTCTGCTCTGCGCCTGGGAACGGGGCTTCGGCAGGATTAATTACGGACCTTCTGCGGCTTCCCGGGAAGATGCCGCCTTTTAATCGCGGCAGCCCCCGGCGGTTTCGCGGGGGGAGGG